TTCCCTTGAGAGACAGCATGGGGGGGGGGGGGGGGGGGGGGGGGGGTGCGACAAACATCAATCCTACATCATACTGGCCTCATCAACTTCCTGTCCCGTTTCCATGCCGACAGTAGCATCCCGTTTCTCAGAGGCGTCTTGAGTGAATCGCTTCTAACAGCAGGAATCTGCGAAAAGGTCAGACAGCCTGGAACCTGAAGCTGATGGTGGCCTGTGAGGATGAACAGGAAAACAGGCTACGGAGGATGGCTGCTGTGTATTTATACCTACCTGTCTCTGCCTTTTTTTTTCTCTCTGAAACAACATCCTGACATTGATTCTTTTTTGGGCGCAGTTAACTTTTTATATATACATCAGAAGAAAATACCAGCGACAGAGAAAAGTGGTGCTTTGTGGTTGCGCATTGAAACAACTACTTAAAATTTTACACATTTTGACCAGGGGATTCAAATTTTTAGCCATTTTTTGAGTTCAGTTATCGTCTGTGTTGTTTTTTACAGGGATGCTTAATAATAGGAAAGCAACAGTAGTACGAGCACAAACACTGTAAATTAATGATTTATGAGGAACATCTAAATCTTACAGTATTATGTTGGGGTGGCGGCTCAGTTGTTGGTGTGGTTGCTTCACATTTCTGCGGTTGCAGGTTCAAATGCCACCTCCAATCTGTGAGAGCAAATTCACGCTGCCCGCAGTTTCCTTCCAAATGCCACGCACTTCGGCAAACTGGTGTCTCCAAATCGCCCATTGCATGTGTATATATGTGCCCCCTGTGATGAATTGGCATCCTACCCAGTTTGTGCTCTATACTCCTGGGATGGGATCCAATCCCCTTCCATGGTCCTGTGCTGCACAAGTACTTAAAAAGATTCACTGTGGTACACTACACCTGAGCCCTACAGAATTGAATAAACAGTATTGCTTGGCATACTCCTAGTAAACATCAAGGAGAATATCAAAACAAAGATTTCTGGCTACATCGTGAAGATGTAAAACATGCAGAAAAGCTTACAAAGAATTAAAATTTCAATTATAGGTAGCAATCAACAAGTGGATACTGGGCAATGAGAAAGTTCGGGAAATCACAAGAAGTAGTACTGGTGTACTTCATGTTGATGGTAATAAGTTACACACACATAAATAACAAAACAGAAGCAGGGCAGCTGCAGGTAAGCATGTTACCAAAGGCTGCCTATGAGGGGTGGGGCAGAGTCAGGTGACTCATTTGTGTTCCCATTGGCCAGCCTCAGCCCCATATCCAGCACTGGTATCCATCCAATGCAGAAGTTTACATCCCTCCCTGAGCCCAGTCATTCCTGTTTTCCTTTCCTGTTTCCCGTTTGCCTTCCTCCCCTTTTCTCCCGTTTGTGTTTTTACAGCCCATTAACCCAAATAAATCCCCTCTTCCTTCCTCAAATCCCCCTATCATGTGGGTCTGCTCACCATCAGAACTAAGGAAAATCTCATAGACTATTTTTACATCCATTTACAAATCCATGACACAAAATGCGGCTCTATGCTTTTATGTCATATACTCCTTTTTATGATCCCGTGTTGGAGATGCATTTATGGAAAACAGACGGATGGATATTCATCAGTCCGTATCTTATAAGAACTGCTTGTTACCACTAATCTACATTTTCGAGATCAGCATTTCTCAGGCAAGATAAGATACGCTGTTACGAATGTCTGCTTGAAGCCGTTTCTCTGATAAGCAGCTTGAGGCCCAAAAAATTGATTAATTGTGGCTCACCCCCCCTCCACCCCCACATGCCTTGGTCCCCCTTCCTTCCATCACCACGCCCCAGCCCCCTTCTCCCTCCCGGCTGGAGCAAAGCAAGACAAGATCCAGTAAAGTCTTTCATCTACTCGTCGCTCGCAGCAGAACACCCCCGCCCCTGCCCCCACCCCCTCCCGAGATCCTGTATCCACACCATGTTCCCGGAAAATATTTATCTACGCCTTTATTTGCTTGTTGACGCGCTCATCCGCAGAGGTCTTTGTGGTTTTACAGGATCTGCAAATGTGCGACAAGACACTGGCGATCCATTCGGGGCGGCTGATATTTCGCCGAGAGCGGGTGGGGTCAGAATAGTCCCCCCACCCCAAGGTAACGAGCACATCTGCTGCGCGGCCTCAGAGCAGAAGCTGCTGTCAGCGTGACGGAGTGAGCGGCCGGGTGGAAGTTGCAGGGGAACCTCCTCCGGCGCCGGTCCGCGTGTGCGCGCTCTACGGTGCACACCAGCCAGGCTGCGACCCCCTGCTGCTTGACTCTGGGCCAGAACATGCTGCTTCCCCACCACTGACATCAAGGCGTGTTTCCCAACCAAGAGCTTCCTCTTACAGCTCCGTTCTGATCAATTATTACTGACGGTACAAATGGACCAGCTCAGCCGACCCGGGAAAACAAAATATGTCTGTGGCACAAAAACAGCTCAGGGTCGGGCCTGGGTGTCCCCTGGCATGTCTGCTTTCTTTTTGAAACCAAGAAAAAGAAAGAAAGAACAACTTACTGCTGCAATTCCAGCCGAATGCCTTGCCCAAGCAGCTCACCACACAGGATCTACCTAATACTTGAGAATTGAGTAATTATTTATCCCTAACACCACCTTGACCTCCATAACGATTTTTTCCTCCCTTATCGTGACTCCGTTGATCAGAGGCAGAGTCTGTGTTGGTCATCAGCCAGCATCACGGCATTTGTTTGCTTTTGTCTAGTGCAAAACTAACCTTTTCCAGCATAAATTTTATTTAATAACTAACTGGCCTCCAGTAACAGAATAACCACAACTTTTAATCAGCATCATATATCTGACTACACAAAAAAATCTCCACCTGCGTGAATGGAAGCGATACCTTTGTATACCTTTCGTATTTTTGATACGAAAATTTGTCTCTGAAAATGACAGCTTGGATCAGGCAAATCTGTATACTGTAACAAGGGAGGATATTCCATATAAGAATCTGTGTTTGTAAATGGAAGACTGTCACTATGTGCACTCAAACATACAGAATAGCACTTTGAACACCTATGAAATCCAGATTGTTTTGTATTCTGAGAATAAATAGATGTCTATAAATAAAACGCTTATTACCAATTAACAGTGTGGACACTTTTTTTCTTTTTAAAGTGCAAATATTTGTTGGAACCAGTCCAGCTAACTAATCCCTGGTGCAAGTTTGGTTCATTACAATGCAGCAGACGTCACATTTCCTGGGCCAATGGAACTGAATTCCGAACTCATGACTCAGGACTGAGTCACAGTATGAACACGCTGGACTGGAACATATGCTGTACTGTTACCCTGGGTGGAGTGGCACAGGGCCTCCTTAGGTCGACTCAGTACTGTCATTGAAATATAAATAGCAAATATTCTATTTCATGGGCATGCCCACACGGCGTTGTGGTCTGAGGTCTCTGTGGCACCAACATTCAGCAAACCGCTATGCCCACACGACCTGGACGGCTGTACTGGTGTAGGTTTTCTACCCAGACCACACTGGTGTGTCCCTCCGCCTCCACTGGTGCTCCACCCAGTGTTGCCGCTCGAGGTCCGTGAGCTTCCCCAACAGATGAGCAAATGGACCAGATAAACAGCGGCTATCTTCCACATCCAGAGCTTCCCTTTCTCTTGTCTACTGGCCCCGCCTGGCTTTCAATCAATTTCTGCAAGGCCATCTGGTACCGTTGACTGTCTCACTTCTGCTTTAGAGAATATCTGGACATGCCATCCATTATCTTTCTTTAAAAAAAAAAAAAAAAAAAAAAAAAAAAAAACTGATCACTGGCTCAATGTGACTGGTGCCTCAATTTCTTCAGTTGAATAATCGGGGTTAAGACTCTTAGACTCATTCAGGTCTCATAGAAAAAGGGTTTTGACTTGTCTTCCATCTTGTTGTCCTAGACGAAGACAGCAGGAACCCAGAACAAACACATACAGACATGTACATTTCAAATATAGAAAATGGTCAGAAGACCAGGCACTCCATGGAATGAATCATCAGCATCAGTAATTGAAACGTGTTGAAGTGGGTTTTGATACGTTACATTGTATTGCTGTCGTACCAAATGATGGTGTACTTAACTCTGATATATTTTAATTGAGCACTGTAGAAAGTTCTACAATGACACTATATTAGAAGTTAATGGCTGAAATTTTCCACAGAAATCAATGGACACAAGCAGAAGACCATTAGGGCAGCAAGTAAAAAGGATCAACTAACTAGACTTGTGGTCAAAAAGCAGCAAAATAAGGTATATTGGATGAATTCTGTTTTTTTTCTTTCTTCCAATCACAGATGAGGGCTGGGGAGGCCCAGCAGCCAGAAACCTTTACAGCAGCCAACAGCGAGAACCTGGACATCAGACGAGCCAACACACCCTCACCCCCGAGAAGGAATATTGTGCTTTATAAGCCCACAATGTCAACAAAGGGCGTGCAGAAATATGTATAGTTCATGGGAGCCAGAGAGATCAGACTGCTTCAGTAGCACCCATAGATCAGAGTACACCTGAAAACTGCCACTCATTTTGCATCAGGCAAACGTACGACTTAAACACATACAGAGATCACGGCTTGTACCGAAAACATTCATACATGTTGAAAGCTTGGGAACGTACAGAAAAAAGGCAAGACACGTTTGTCGATCAGACTGTGGGAACGCCAAGAGAGAAAAAACAACCCAAAGAGAGGGAGAAGAGAGAACAAACTTGCTATTATCTGAGGATGAGAACACCATTTGGCACGTCACTATGCAAACTAAGGAAGCCGGATTTTGGGTCCTATGATAATCTTATTTCCATATTCATTAAATAGGGAATGGAAAGGGGAAAAGAGAAAAATTATTGGCAGACTGCAAAGTAAAAATGTATTCAAACGTTGAAACTAAAGGTTTAGTTATGGTAGGTTTAGATGTGTCAGAATATAACACAGAACAAAAACCCAGAATACATTTAGCAAAAGCATGCAGCAAGTAACTTCACATAAAGATCCAAACAGTTTTACCTCTCAAAAAAAAAAATTAATTTTAATTGAAACAAAAAAAATTCAATCATTAACAAGTTTATAAAACAGTGATTTAGTTACATAAATAAATTGATATCGGCGTATCAAATCTTAATTTCAACTTCATGAGCATGTATACATTGGAGATGAAGTACAATCTTTTACCTATTATAATAAATAAAATGGTGAACATGATATTTCGTTTCCTAAACGAAAAAAGCTACAAACAATCCTCTAGGAAATCCTCTAATGGAGGGAACAAGTGACACAGGACGACATTTTGCACCATAAATGTAAAAAAAAAACAAAAAAACAAACAAAAACAAAACAAAAAAAAAAAGCTTTTTTAAAAGCACGAGATACAGAACCATCCAGCTAAAATTAAAAGACACTAAAGTTGTAACCAAAGTTGGTTGGCTTTCATTTAATGAACAGGTTTGGTAGTTAGAACTCCAGTTTGGTTATTTTAAAGCGTTAAGACAAGGCAAGAAAGAAGGCTCTTCTTGATCGAGGAATTCCAGAGAACAAACTAGGTAAAAGAGAGAGAAAGAGCATGGAAATTAGAACAGTCAGATCCACATAGCAACCTCCAGTCCGGCACATACTTAGGATGCTAGCAGAACGGGCAAGCCAGCCTACACGCATAGCTCCGGCAATGTCGCGGTAATGCCGCAGCAGGCCGCGGGAACGCCAAGGGAGCGCCGCGCTCAACTGGGGTATGCGGTGCGTTCCTGTGCATAAATGGAGCGTTCAGAGACTATTGCTGCACTGCGAAGAAGGGGCGCAAGAAAATAATAAAAAAAAAAAGACCATAAAAACAATAAAATAAAATTAACTCTACACGATTTCGGTTTCAACATAGGACTACGGTAGTCAACACATCGCTTCCGCTAGGATAGGAGTCGCATCTTGTCGGAGTTACAGCGCTGGACACGTAGAGCCGCGTGGGACCAAACTATCTGGGTTCTCTCTCGAGACGTTGGCGTGGCCTGAGGTTCCGGCCCATTCCCCGGCTGTCCCGCTTGTCTACGGTGCTCTTTTTAAAACCATGAACGCGTGCACGCTTAGGAGTTACGGCTCACGTACGGCTACGTATAGTCAGTTCGGCTGCGTTTCTTACATATACACCAGTCAAAAATCATGCAGTTCGGAGAAGTGACTCTGCATAGATGGCCAGCAGAGATAGCCCCCACCCAAGCCAGCCCCCACCTGAGCCAGCCCCCTAAAAACAAGGCCAGTTTAGTCCTTCTGATATGTTCTGTGTAAAAACCAAACTACTGCAGCTTCAAGTATTTTGCATTACATAGAATATCTTTATAAATTAGTTAATGTATACCTTTTTTCTCTCAGTATTCAGACATATACTATAGTATGTACAGTACAATAAATGCTCTCATTCTTTTTCATTTTTTCCTTTTCATTTTTTTTTAAAGAAATCCCTGAGAATGTATGTTGACAGTCGCTAGTTTCCACACGTGTGATGTCAGTGCCCCGCTCCGGAACTTAAAAAACGGCACTGCGAATCAGTCAGACCCTGGAAACCGGAGAATCATAGTGTTTTTACTTTTATTAAGAAGTATTCCGACTTGCTCTTCCCTCCGTAACACTTTCGCTTTGCTGCTCTGTTACAGGACCGCTATGCGAAACCACGCGAGTGAGTTTTGTGGGAGTAAAGCTGGATCCTTACGAGGTACTTGTCCCTTAGGATGGAGGCGTTTCCGTTTGGTTTAAAGCCGTAGTTTTTTTCCATTTCTTTGAGGCTGTGAATGTTTCACGGCAATAACAGGAGAGCTACTGAATGTGGGCTTTTGCCACTGGACAACATATACTCAGTATAAACTGAAAAACATTTTGTTTCTCTTCCTCTTTTACCATCCCCCTCCCCCCCTCCATTACAAATGAATGAACAAACACAAACTTTCACAACATGACAGTTTTTTTTTCTTTTCTTTTGCGAAACAAACGGTTCTATACACATAAGTAATACCGGTGTGGCTCTGTGATGTTTTCTCCTTTGTTTAGTTCCCCATCTTTATTTTCCTTATATGTCCATTTTAAGTCAAAAGGGGTACAAAGGAAGGCTCGAGAGAAACGAAAACAAAAAACAAAGAGAAAACGGAAAGACCGGGGGAGCCAGGGCGCTCCGTCAGCCGAAGCGCTCTCGAACCAGCATCATCAGCTTCTTTTTGCCTTTGTAGATCTGCTTCAGGTTGTCGATGAATTGCGTGAACTGGATGTGTCCGTCGTGGGCCATGAGGAAAGTCTCTCTGGCCTTGCTGAGGAACTCGATGAACTCGCTGTAGTGCCGCGGGCTTATGTGGGTGAGACGCGAGTGCGTGGTGTTGATGTAGGCCCCGATGGTGGCGTCCAGCAGCTGCCTGAGCGGCGCCTTGTCCAGCGACATCAGTTTCCCAGAGTTCCTGCGGCTGTGCAGTGTCACCACCCCCGGGGTGGTCAGCGTGCAGCGGCGCAGGATGTCCGACAGCACGGTGGCGCACTTCACGCTCTTGACCACCAGGGGGATGATGGAGGCCAGCTCATTCTTGCCCAGCGAGTGGCTCAGCACGCAGGCCCAGAGCACGTCGTTGATGGCCGGGTGTGTGTCCTGGTTGTAGCTGAGGTTCAGGTGAGTCATGGCCAGCGTGGCCAGCTTGTAAGCCCGCAGAGGGTATCCGCGGTGCTCCATGTAGCGAGCGATGGTGAACAGCTGCGTGTAACTCATGCCCGTGGCGGCGGCGTCCAGCACTATCTGGTAGGCCGTCTCGAAGGCGATGTGGTCCTTCTCGCAGAGCGTGAGGGCGGACAGGGCGCAGTTCTGCGGGTCCTTCATGGCGCACTGCAGGGCCAGCGTCCGCGCACTGCTCGCAAGGTTGTCCTGCTGGTGGCACTCCAGGTGCAGCCTGACTATGGTGCTGCTGGACATCACCGTGGTGGCTACGATGCTGGTGGCCTCCGTGGGGGTGAAGAGCGTGAACCAGCCCTGCATGATGCTGTCTAGGGCGTACACCCCTGTGACCGATGTAGCGAGAGAAGAGAAAACGGCGTTATGACCGCATGTCAGCTCTGGCTAGGGCCTCCTGGCTTAACGCTCATGAACTTCAGAGGGGGAACCCCTTTCAAGGAGGCCTAGATATGACTACTGATCATTTAGAAAGAAGAACAAAAAGGCTTTGATCAAAAAATGTAATGCACTGTCAGGCTGGTGCATGTCAAATCGATTTTAAAATCTGCTTAGCTGACAACATCCAGGTTTCCATCAGTTCGATTTTATAGAACTAAAAGCTCTATTGACAGAACTCCATGATCAAGTGATGGAAATGGCCAAATCGGATCAGCATTTCCTCAAGCATGACTAAGTTGTATGCATTCGATATCGGGAGATTTACGCGCTATGTATAATACAGGAAAAATGTCACCTTTGCAATACTGCGGGATGTGTCAAAATAAGAACACTATACACCTTGAATTTGGAGCAAAACATGGAATTATTCTATAATTAAGAATAAATAAAAAACAAAAACTTGAATTGATGTCACAACTTGTGGAATACTTGGACTTGTTTGAAGTACAGCTAAAATATTAATTCATTAAAAAAAATAACTGAACTAAAATATCTTGTTAAATTACAAAATGTTTCAAGAACTGAGGGTTTATGCATATTTAAGGTGAAAATAAAGTCTTTAGCCCACTAAATTATTTAAGGAAACGAAGACACTATCATTACATTCTGAGGAAAATATTTTAATATAATTAGCTGTAAGGAGCGTGCCGATTAGTGAGTGTGCTAAAAACATACATCTCTCTTTAAAAATGCAAAGCAGCCCGTTCCTCTTAACAGGAGCTGTCAGAGAGCGCTGTCCGGCACAGCATAGCGGTTAGGGACCTACAGCCAGGGCCCCTAAAACACAGAAAACAAGGCTGTGGCCCTTTCAAACTACAGCTACCAAAGTCAATCTACAGCCCTATAAATGGATACATTTCAGAATCTGTTTACAGCGGAGAAATGTTTTTAAATAATGCACCAACTGTCACTGGGTTAAACCCTTACATATATGGAAAGAAAAATACTAATATGGATCAATTAGGTGAGCGACTAAATATGCAAACCCAAAGTCATTAATATATATATATATATATATAATTTTACTATTATACACAGGTTATTTACCACTGTGGGCAGTGGTGGCTTGATGGTTAAGGAAGCGCACTTGTAATTGAAAGATTGCAGGTTCGAATCCCCAACCAGCAAGGCACCACTGAGGTACCCTGAGCAAGGTACCGCCCCCAAGCACTGCTCCGCGGGCGCTGAATTAGCTGCCCCCTGCTATGTCACATGGTCACATATGGGTTAAATGCAGAGGACACATTTCATTGTTGCGCCATGTGTGCTGTGGTGTGTTGACAACGACCACTGATCACCAAATTCTAATTCTAAAAATATAGAAATGCTCCACTGTTGTGTGAGCAGTTAATTTTGCCCTTGTGACTGGCCTTTCTCCTTTGACCTGTCTCATTAACAAGGTTTTCAGGCACAAAATCTGCGGTGGTCTGGTAGGTTTTTGCTCATCTCTCCATTCTCTAAATTCTAGTGTGAAAATCCCAGGACGAAGGCTGCGTACGCGAAACCACGTCTGGCACGTCTTTTTAAAATCACTTAAATCACGCAGCCATGTGATTCTCCGTTTGGAGATGCAGCCTGGTTACATTAACAAGCAGGCGTACCGAATAATGCCACCACCTGCATGACACATCTATAGCATATGATGGAGTTTCTCTCTAACAGAAGTTGAATGGTGCCCTTTACCTCACCACATTCACCCCCCCCCCCTTTCAGGGTCATGTGAGCAGGGGTCATGTGCTCCCCATCAGAGGGTCAGAGGGCACAGCGGTCAGAGCGCTTGGCGCCACCATCACTCACCTACTTCGGTGGCACAGGTGACTAACCACCGCACCATTTCCCGGCGCCGCCAGTTCAGCGTCGACAGCGTCATCCTCATCACCTGACGGGGGAGGGGGGGGAAGTAAGAGCGTTCAGTGTGGAGGGGAAGCTGATGAAATAAGGCGGCAAGGATGGCTTTCACAAACAGGCCACGCGGCGCGTTTACATCAGCATCTCTGCTGGGGAAAGCAGTTACCGCGGCCGGAGCAGTTAGGACCAACTGTCCCATTCAGCGCCACCGATAACGTCACCTAAATTATTAATCCATTCATTTTTATCAACAATCGTTTTCTCCAATTTAATCTGCCGGTTCACTGCGATCCTCCGCAGGTGAAGGCTCCGCCCAGCAGGATGGATAATAGGGTGGAGAGAAGGATGGATAGCCATAGATACGGCAAGTCAACTAAATATACTGATGCTTCAGAAAGAAAAAAGAAAACAGCCATTTTAATCAGCATTTCTACTGTCTATCTGCAAAAGTCTATAAAACAGCAGCAGCTCAGATTCAGGCAAATGAAGGTGCGACTGTCGGGATGGAGACAGAACAAAGATATTAAGGAATGAGGATTTGCAGGCTGCTGCTGGGGGAGTCCCGTCCCACCCCCGAGCTCCAAGGCGGGGCGGCCATCTTACCTGAAGGCCCAGCTCCAGGGACACTTTGAGGAGGGTGATGTCCGGCAGGCTGTCCATGAGTGTGGCGATCTTGAAGGCATCCTGGGCCAGCTTGAAGATGTGCGACGAGGAGTGGATGTTTTTCTGGATGGACTCCAACACCGTTTCCAGCCGCCGTCCGTCACCTGAAAGCCAAAAATGAAAAAAATAACAAATGATATTCAGCAGACAATGACACGTCTAGGATTTAATTACAAACAAATCCCTCCGGACTGGCGACTGAGCACCACAGCAGTGAAACGAATGACCCTGGCTGATGTGACACAGCCGAGGAGGGGGTGGTGCTGAGGCCAGAGGAGAAACATCTGAGTGGGAACGGGGGGTTCACATGGGGCTTAATGGCCACCTTTGCCATTTTTGCTCTCTGCTGCCCCCATTGAAAGGTGCCGGCGACTGACCTTTGGCCGCGGTCAGCATGGTGGAGGCCAGCTCACACTGCTGAGACTCGATGTGGCTCAGGGTGAACCAGCGGGGGTAGCGGTTGGGGACGACGGACACCATATTATGTGGCCGGGAGAGGTCCCCCGTTGGGGCCGTGGATTCCAGCACCGGCAGCCTGGAGAACAAAGCAGCATCCTGTTAGATGGAGAAGCACTCCGACCTCTGACATCACCAGCAGTCGCACCAGCTTCCAACCGAGAAGCCGACCTGAGAATATTCATACATACATGTGGGCAGGAAGTAAGTGCGGCCCCGCAGGCCCAACGGAGACCACGGCACAGGAAGCACACACTTCGGGTCAGTTACATAACAGGAAGAAGGAACGTCTAATACGACTCAATTAGCTCAGTCACCCACATTTAAATGTTACTGTAAAAGAATGTACCAGATCATGGCTCAAAACGCAAGCTGTCCAATTCTAAACAGTTTGGGACATAATTCAGTATGTTTCAGGACGAGCATCCTGGGAAATAATCTTCACAAGAAAAAGCTGGAGGTAGGACAGACAGCTTTCCCATAAAACTACCGCCGGTGGTAATTACAGGGAAGGTCGGCCTGCGAGGCATGTGGCATCTCTGTTTACGGGAGATTACAAAAGCGTGGCGATTAAAGAGGGCCGGTCAGCACTCTGCCACGCAGCCGTCCAAAACGGCCCGTTTCAGATAAAAGGCGTCTCCTGAGGTCATCACATCACATGGATAATTTAGTGGGAGGGCCTGCAGTTTACCCTGCCGTGTTACCAGAAGCGGGTTTGGCACGCCTGTACCATGCTGATGTTTACGAGTCGTAGCCAGCTCATGCATTTTTCTTTTTTTTGAGCGAGCTAATGACTGCCGTCTTTTCAGCGCTGACAACGGCAGCTTCCCAAAGGTGACTCAGGCGGGCCCCTCTCAGGTCCTCCCAGTCGAATCTCGCATTCGCCGACGGAGCGGAATCGGAACTAGGCCAGACTCGTGCGGCTCGCCTTGTAACTGACGTGCACAACTGGGTTAATTCTTGCCAAAAATAAAGACAGAGAAACAACAAGCGAGGGAAGAATGTGTGGGGAACAGACTCCAGAACCCAGAGCACAAATAAAAATAATCTTTTCATCAGCGTCCTCGATCCCAGAGTAACAACAGGTTCACGCATCTCATTCAAAATGCATTAAAGAGCTGCTAAAAGCATATGCCCAGAGGGAGGGGCCGCTGCACTCCGCGCGATAAGGAACGGAAGGGAAAAACTCTCAACTTTATAAAGTTCTTTCTTTTCTTTTTAAGCGACTGGCTGCAGGGACAGCCACCCAGGTTTTGCGCTACTGCCAGAGCGAGACGAGGAGGCTCTGCATGGCGCAAAATGCGCCAGGGACCTAAATAGCCAGGTGGGGTGTCCCCCCCCCACCCACCTAGGAGGGATCGGATGGGGGTGGGGCTGATTAACTGGATGAGCTGCAGTGTTCTCTCGGAGATGCCAGGCCTTATTGAATTAACGGAAAGAGCAAGATGTCGGACCACCGGCCCTGTAAGAGATAAAGACCGGGTCCCTTAAAGATGGCGATGTCATCTCCTAAATACGCCCCCTGCCCCCCCCCCCATTGAATTCTCTGCCTCCATCTGCACGGCTCCTCTCATATTCCTCAGTATTTCTTCATGTTTCAGTCCTTCCCTCTGAACAGGCTCAGTCAATGACGACTTCCGTTCATTCAGTCGTAAAAATGAATAAAAATTCCTTCTATGTTCGCTGCCGTTTTCAAAAGTGCGAATTTTGCATAAGGAGCCCGTGATAAATCTCATGGGCGGTAAAACCTGGGGCACGACGGCAGCCCAAAGACCCCGGCGCCGGTGGAGGTCCTCTCCTCCACGCCGCTCCGTGCTGCTGAGCTGCAGAATTCCGCAAACCACAGGAACGCAGCCAGGAAACCGGCCGAGGAAATCCACCCCCCACCACCACGCCGTCACAGGTACACCGGTTCCACCGTTTCGCAGCCCATTTGCAGCTGCGTACGCTGGGACCACCCTCCTCCCCCAACCAAGTTCCTCCCACTCTCGTTTATTCCGTAATCGCTCTCTCAGCTCGAGGTCAAAGCTCAAAGAAGGCGCTGAAAGCGGCAGCGGACCGGAAGTGGGGGCCCAGAAGTCTCATAATGACCTCATAACCCAGCGCTCTCCCCAGGAAAAAGCGCAGTCCCATAAATGGCATACAGAAATAAACCTGCACTGACCACACACAACTGGGGGGGGTGGGATCATTATGTTTGCCTCATAATTTACAGTTTCTTAACTAAGCGAATTACACGGTTCAGCTATTTTAACAGATATACCAGGCATAATCGGTACCCAAAAAAATGGGGGGAAAAAGGGAACAAGATGATGAAAAAAGGGTGGGAAAAGCAGAGAGACACAAATTTCCCAAAACATTCAGCACTTGGTTTGGGATTTTCGCTGCCAGCTCGAGGTGATGGTGTCCCCTGGAGCAGGGCGCCTGCTCTGAGACAATCACCGCACTTCCCATCCACCCTCTAAAAGCCGAGTGCCATCACTTCCCTCTTCCTGGGGAGTCACATCCCAGGAAGGAAAAAAAAATACCTACAAAGTGATCTGTGTTGCACATCATACTGCGTAAAAAATTTCCAGGCAGTCTGCTGTGTGAACCTGCCAGGTAACGTTACTGCTGATAAATGAATGAGCCAGCAGGACAAACATTTTGCGATATTTACCCTCCTTTCCGTCCAAATAACAGCTGACTCTGCCGCTCCTTTATTCCCATGAAGGTGTTTACTGTTCTGCTTTGTTTTCCATATGGATACTGACAAAAATTCCAGGACCTTAACGTATAACTGCCTGCAGCGACACGATTATTGTAAAATAGCTCAAACTCGCATACGTATGGCATGTCCTTATGACTGTATGTGAGCGTGTGCAGACGTGTGTGTGTCTTTTTATAATTATTACATTGTATGGACCAGATTTCCCCACATAGTGATAAAAAGAGTTACTTTTTACCTGGTCCCCACAAGGATAACGTCAACTTTACAAAAATCTGTGAATGCAATCAAATAACTAAAAAAGTCAAAGGTCTTGCATTTTGCATTTGGTTACTTATGATTAAGGTTAGGGCTGGATAGTAGTTAAGGGTGTCATAGTTGGGTTTAGAGTTTTCCCCTTAGAAATGAATGAAGAGTCCCCACAAAGACATAGATACATAACCTGCGTGATTAATCAGTAATCAGTGTGAGTGTGTGTGCATGTGTGTGTACATATAGTGAGTGCCCCCGGTCCTCCTTGTGCATTTTTGGTCCCAGCATCGCCTGCCCGGCTGTTGAAGCAACCTCCCCCCCCCCCCCCCCCCC